AATTATTCTTCCTTAATCTCGAGAATGGAGTTAGATGAAAGTTGATATCAGATGTGGAAAGCTCGGGGGCAGGCGGTTCTGTTTATTTACATTTATATTACACGATTAAATTGGGGATGAAATGACCACTCAGGAGCACCGATGCTCGCGGTGTTCGCCAGTTCCGCCGTCACTTTGAGAGGAATAACACTTTTCTCATCAACTAATTTGTAGGAGAATCACGCATACTTTATCAAATTTTTCAAAATGTCGGAGCATCTAAATGTTTACCGCCTTTGCAACTTCCTAAATTGACGAAGAACCCGCGGTTGCAATTAGATCTTGATTTTGGAGGATGCTTTCCCAATAGGTAAAAGCATCCTTTAAATGTAATTTTGCAACGTTGTCGTGCAGTGATTCTCCTCCACAACAAAATAGCACCAAGCCATCGTTTCATTCTTTAGCGAACAAAGATTCAATTATACTTAGGTTAATTAAACAATGACTTTGTTGCCAGAGTAAGTACAGTACATATTGTTCGAGAATATACAGAAAATGTTTTGTACAGTTGACTTCCCCTATAACGCGGGTTCATATAATGCGGATTCGTATATCGCGGCGAAAAAATTGCGCCCGTATTCGTATAAAGACGCTAAAGGGACTCGTAAAATGCGGTAAAACGTCATCGCCGACTCGTGTCGCGACAAGATTGGTCGAATCAGGACCAATAGTGGACGAGCAGCCGAACTACTTACACGCTACGGAGAGTTTAGGCGGGTAAGTTGAGTTTACTATCGTCTGTCCAGTATATAAATTAGGTACTGTAATTTTATACATTTCTTGTGAAAAAGAAACATTTCTTAATCAACGGCCAGGGCCGGATTAACCTACTTTGGGGTCCTAGACATTTTCTTCTTCTCCCGGTTCTTTCAATTAATAAATTTTGTTACTATTATTTCCATTAAATTGCATATGGACACTGCAGCTGCTTTATAAAAAATAAAAGCAAAATTATTTAACAATATTTCACAGGATTTAAGAATACATATAGNAATTGAAAATAGTTCGTTTGATTTTCGGCAATTCTCTTCAGCGGTAGGTGTTATATAACAATTACTATGGTTATTGAAATATTGGATGTAAATGGGGTTTGCTTGCAAAACCTCCGCTGACGAAGTCGCGGGTAACAGCTAGTAGTTAATATTATTCTTATCGCTATAAAGAATATTCTAAATTATTGGGAGTTTTACTTTCAATAAGAAGAAACTTAAGAATACGAGGGTTGTTCAAAAAGTTCCCGAATTTTATTTATTACAAAAAAAATACTTCACATACAATTTATTTGTCAGAGTCCCCTTCAAAGTAGTCTCCTCCGCAGCATATACACTTCCACTTTTTGAAACAGTCCTGGAACGCTTTTTCCAGAAAGCTCATAAGCTCCTCCGTCTTTTTTTCTATCTCTGGAATGGTGGCAAATGTTTTTCCTTTGAGCGCGTTTTTTAGTTTGTTGGAGAACAGGAAAAAGTCGCACGGGACCAGGTCAGGTGAGTAGGGTGCGTGTGGAAGCACAGCGGTCTTGTTTTTGGCCAAAAACTCATGTGTTCTGAGGGAGAAATGAGCCGGCGCGTTGTCGCAGTGAAAGAACCACTCGCGGTTCCTCCAAAGTTCGGGACGTTTTCGCCTGATTTTGTTTCTTAGGCGATTCATAACACCAGGTAGTACTCCGTGTTGACTGTCTGGCCTGTAGGTAGGTATTCGTGATGCACAACTTCTTTGCATCGAAAAAAAAAAACAGTCAACATCACCTTAACATTTGAGCGAACTTGTCGAGCTTTTTGGGGCGGGGGGCTGTTTCACCCACCCGTGGGAAGTTTTCGTAAAGGATTTTCCGAGTTTCACACAGAATTTCACAGAACAACGTTGTTCTTTCAAAAAGCTGATTTCCGATTTTTCACCGAATCCCAAAAACACTGCTTCACATAAACGGCCGTAACTAATCACCAAAACAAGATACAGTAGAGCGTCTATTATCCGAAAGTCAATCATCCGAAACGTCAATCATCCGAAAGAATTCCAGTCGGCAAATTTAAATTTTCGCCAGTGCCGTGGCGCTGCAATTTTTGGCTATGTGTTGGGCTACTCAAATATTTTACGTTTTTGATACTAAATTAACTTCCCAAGTATAATTTTTTATTGTTTTTATATTTTTCAATATATTTATTTTGTTCGTACAAAATAAAAAAATCATTTTTAACGATACAATAGTCTTCGTTAGACTTAACATCGACGAAAATTAAACGCAAAGCGACACGCAACGGAGAAAAATGTCAAGATGGGATAAATTAATATATTTTTCGTGCATGATCGGTTATCCGAAACGTCGATCTTCTGATCAACCCCAGTCCCCAATTGATTCGGATAATCGACGCTCTGCTGTATCAACAAACGGGTTGAAGGAGGTTACTCGGGAGGTCCGCGAACACAACGCCTCCAAGCAAATTAAAAAATAACCAACTGGAGGCGCGCTATTTAAAAAGTTCGGGCACTTTTTGAACAACCCACGTACATTTTCTTTAGATTTTAGAATTCACAATAACCATATAAAAGCAATATGTTTATGTTTATTTGTTTATTATATACTGTTGTCCAACAGAAAAGTAAACTATCTTATTTACAAATCTTTTCAAAATAGACAGTTTGACCGGGCTATCCTAAAAACCGGGCCCTAGACATTTGTCTATGCGATGATCCGGCCCTGTCAACGGCCATAAAAATTATTTCTATTAATGATGTCTCCAAAGTTCAACGAATTTTTCGCAGAAAAATAACTTATCAGAAAATGCTCCCGCCGTTTGGTGCGCTGCTACGCGACGAAAACAAGCTTAAGCAATGGCGTCCTTGAACGGTGCACACTCAGTAAGTAATCCTACAATTTTTGTTTATAGCATAGTTTATACGGATTATTCCCAAAAAGTTGTACGTATTTTGGAAATGTTGATTCAAATTAGTCTAGAATCGATTAATTTTATAGAAGAAAACCTTTCAAACAGCCGTAGTCCATAAACTGCACACGCGCCGGACTGTGATTGGCTCATATATTTAAGGATTCCTACAACGTGAAATTCTTATAAAGTGGAACGTATCTACCGCGTTATATGGGGTTCGACTATATTTAAATATATATTGTTAGGTGACATTTCCTAATCGATTTTGACATTGAATTGTTACTTGAAACAGGTCGATTTTATTGTTTTCTTAACCTGTTTATCGTACAGTACATTTGTAGCTTTCTAAAAAGAAAGTGACGTCAAACACACCTGCAGTGGCGTGTTGAGAATGGACTAGGGTTTTTTTTTAAAGTCTTTCCGCCCTGTGTCCACTAAGAGGGCCTCTTTTAGCAAGCTCATTATGGGTGCGACCAGTCCCACAATGGTGCTGCTGGGTGGTGAGAGACGAAGGACAACATATCCGGTCGGACCACCCCGAAAAATACTCCTGAGGATTTTTGCGGGGTCGCCTAAATTCCTTGAAGTACCATCTCATTATTTTCAATGCATTTCTTTATGAAACCTTTCACTTGAAAAATATATATATATTTTTCGTGCCGGCCTCCCCCTTTACTCTGAGTTCAAGTTTTCCACGATCCAACCCGAACACCCTCTTAGTGCCACTTTAGTTGATCGTGCGACAAGACTAGCGTGTTCCAGTCATAGTCTTGTGTTTTGTGCGATTCGAGGCGTTCTGTAATAAGAGATTTTTAGCTTTTTGTGCTTGTTGAGAACAAGCTTTAATGATTTTTGCTTTTTATTATCATAAAACACTTAAAAGTTTTCATCTAGACCATGAATTTATTTAAAAGACAGTATATGTGATTAGAAAGCTCTGAATTCAACATGGAAGGGGACTCAGTAAGCGAATCAAGTCCGTCGAAAAAAAATATATAGCAACGAGTTGCTTAACTTTCCCAGCAACATTTTAAACTATGGTGGCATCTGTTATGATATTTTATTAAAACCCTTTTTATATTTTTAACTATTATAAATTGGCAAAAAGCTTAGTTTTGAAGGTAGGCGCGGGTTTTATAAAAAGAAAAATTCTAAATGCTAATAACGAGTAACTTTAATGAGTTACTACCCTACTCGAGACACATGATCTCATTCTATCCCCCCTCCTCCTCGACCTTTAACCACCAAAATTTTATAGTATCAATCCTCCTAATACACAAACCTCCCCGCAAAGTTTCAGAGATTTTTGACAAAAAGCACGGGAGTTATTACGCTATAAAGAGGGTGAACAAAATCTTTTCATTTCAGGTACTGTACATATATGTGTATAATTAATGGTAGCAGCCGTCTTAATCTGTGCCTTCAGCGCTTGTAAAACTGGCTGCACTAATCTTACAGAAGCTAATTTAAAATGGATATAGAGTAACTGTCTTTAGGCAAACCGCCTTTACTAAAATTTGCTCCCAATTTATAATTTTAAAGACTATAAGTGTATACTAATGGCATCGTTTGACACCAAAATTTTCATACTTCTTCTCTTGGCCTCTGGAAAAAATATAGAATTTCATGGAGAGACCGAACTCCCCGTCCGAGGGAGTTCGGTCGTCCCTGGGACGGGCTGACCACGTGGAATTTTTCGGGTTTTCTCTACGTCTGTAACGCCTAAATAGGGGCCAGTTTTCCTTAAAAAGACCTACCGAAAAGCATCCCCCTAGGCAGATCGCCCAACTATTGAGTTGCCAATTTTTCCGAATCGGAAACCCGAAAGTCTGGCAACACTATAACAGCGCTTTTCCAGGCCGTATTACTAGACCTAGAAGATAAGGCGATACACAAAAAATACATTATGCCATCTCCTATAATGGCGTATTAAAATTAATGACAATCTTAACACAGAAAACAAATGTTTACAAAATTTCTGATCATTTAATAAATATAACAATTTTTCCTTCAAAATGCCAGTCAATTATCGAGCTGGCAACAGTGCGGGAGAATAAACACGACGTCACATTGTAATTGTAAACAAAGGCGGAAATGTCACGTGTGTAGGCTGTTTTTTTTGCAGGAAGTAAGAAGAACTTCCGCTATTAATAAATCATTTCTGTAAAAAATGGATGACGAAGAGGTTGAGCGTTCGACAGGTAACAGAAAGAAACGGAAATTTGAATTTATAGATCTATCAGACAGCGAGAGTTCGTGGAGTTGTCCATCATCATCTAGCGATGATAGTGAAGAAGACGATTATGATGACGATGATGATGACGATGATGAAGATAGCGAAAATATCGGAGATGAAGATTGGGTGGATACAGCTGGCCCAAGAGAGCCATTTCCAGCTCACAATCGAGGCGTAATACATAAAGATTTTGGCGAAAACCCTAGACCAAAAGATATATTCGATAATTTTTTCCCACAAGAATTAGTAGAATTAATAGTAAATGAAACAAATAAATATGCAAACAAATACATCAACTTACGGCAAATGAATAGGATGCAGATGGAGCACAGTAGAGATAAAAGCTGGAGGGATACAAATCCTGATGAAATAAGAGTGCTATTAGCGTTATTTATACTTCAGGGTATTGTTGTGAAGCCAGCACATGAAATGTACTTCAGTAGGAGTAAAATTATCGATACCCCTTTTTTCTGTAAAATAATGCCTCGTGACAGATTTCAGATATTGTTGTCTTTTCTACATTTCAATAAAAGACAGGAGCGAAGTAAATCAAATTCAAATTACGACCTACTGCAGATAAAACCAGTTTTAGATATGCTTTCGGAAAGGTGGCAGTTGACTTACACTCCGGAGAGGGACATATCTATCGACGAGAGCCTGTTGCAGTGGAAAGGGCGCTTTAAATGGAAGATTTACGTACCGAGGAAGAGGAATAAGCTGGGGATAAAGTCGTACAAGTTGTGCGAATCGTCTACCGGATACGTATACAATTTAATGATATATTCCGGAGATAAAACTGGCATTCCCGACAAGATACAAGATATTGACCTCGAAAATTTTGATAAACCTGCTCAAATAGTGTTGACCCTGATGGAAAGCTTGCTGAACCAAGGACACAGATTATATGTTGATAATTTTTACGCATCACCTAAGCTGTTTGACGCCTTGGTGGAGAAGAAAACGGATGCGGTTGGTACCGTTAGACGCAACAGAAAAGGTATGCCAAAGAAATTGACGCTTCGAAATGACACGTTAGCGGCATACTATCGGAAAAAACTAATGGCTTTAAAATGGATAAGTAAAAGGGAAGTATATATGCTGTCGACCGTTCACGACAATAATATGAAAACTTACAGTAATATTTATAAACAGCCGGTTACCAAACCCAAAGTTATTTTTGATTACAATAGAGGAATGGGAGGAGTTGATCTTTCTGATCAACGGATCGCAAACTATTCCCTTGCAAGGAGACGAACAAAAAAATGTTATATAAAGTTTTTTTTTCATCTTTTAGATATCACCATTTTGAATTCTTTCATTATTTATAAAAAATGTGGTCACGACATTACTCATCTGAAATTCAGAACAGAATTAATCAAGGACATTATAGATCACCATCTTAAAGGAGATGGTTTAAGGAAAAGGAGAACATATGAACATGACATTGCCATATCTCAGAGACTATTAGGAAATCATTTTATTTGTCGGAATCAGATTTCTCGATCTACGGATTATACTCTTCGTCGTGCGTGTGTTGTTTGTTCTGCAAATAATGTTCGAAGAGATGTTAGATATAGTTGTCGGCAGTGTGATGTTGCTTTATGTGCAGTACCGTGTTTTGAAATATTTCATACGCAGGAACATTTTTAATACATTTTGCTATGTGAAAGATTTTTTTTATTCTTGTTCTCATCTCCAAAATTTCCTGCAAATTTTAAAGATCCAAGTATATTTATATCAATTATAATTCCTTCATTGCTTGCAGTGTAGAAAACAAATCATGAGTCTACCTCTAAGCCACAAGAATACGTGTTTTGTAATACTTTGTCTGCCGTTAAAATAACTGGAATATAACAATATATGCTTCATCACGAAAAGAATCTTTTACTACCTTCTTACTATTGAGTGGTGTATTTTCTTTGCCCATGCCATTCATCTTTTCTTTTGCTTTGTTTTGCGGTTAGATTTTGCCACATACAAATGGAAGCAGACACATCTTTTGAAATCCTGTAGCACCACATTTTCATTTTTTCAGAGAGAGAGATGTATCTTGATCAGTACTAATTGTCAACCAATTGATTTTCCTGGTGTTACACGTCTGTTTTACTGGAAATTTGTAACAGTACCTTTACTGTTGACAATGGTAATTTTAAATCTTTTGCAATTTGTGCATGTGACAGTTCATCAGTGTTTTAGTGCTATTATTTCACAAAGGTCTGTCAAAACTGGCTCACTATAAGACATAGTTCTTTGCATGTGGACATCTGCAGGTTTAGACTAATTGTTGTCATCAGTGCCATAACTAGGCAGGTGCAACAGGTGCACTGCACAGGACCCAATTGAAAGGGGGACCCAAAATGCATGTATTTGTTTTACTATTCTCCCAAACCTAATTAATTAAGGGGCGTAAATGCAAATTCTTGCACAGGGCACATGAATGGCTAGTTACAGCACTGGTTGTCGTCACCAGATGCTCCTATTTTTGTCTGTCAACAGTGGAACTTTCTAATATGCTTTTGTAAAATTAGGCTCTGTTATTTTTTTAAATTCGGACTAAAGCTAACAGGCCTATTCTAGCTGGAAAAGAAAAAAACATACCAGACAAATATATCAGCTTGCCCCTCATTTATAAATTTAGCACAGTGATTTATTACTAATGGTCTTATGATATGACCAAAGGAAACTGGAATGTTTCAATATAGAAGCAAATGAGGACACAAGAACAATTTGTTCTAGCTTTAAGTATTTTACTAGTGAGAGATCATAATGCAGTACTGCCTTAATGAGAGTTTCTTTGTGTTGATGCTAATTTCATTGGTGTAACAAAGCAAACAATATTCCACATTTAATACTGGATAGCAGTTTCCTGAAACAAATGGCTTGCAACTCAGTTATTGGACTGCTTAAAATGGGTGTGTTTCCTAGTAAATCTGCTTTACTTAAGCTATTTTTGTTTTCATAGGATGCACTTCTACATCTTAGTTATTGAAGTTGGTTGTTTGACTCTTTTTATATGTTGTTTCATACATGAAAAATATGTCAGAAACGACGGAGAATTGTTAGGTATAAAACATCAGAGGCAGCCTATCAAGATAATTTGACATTGTGTATAACTGTATCATCTATATGGTAAACAACAAGAATATAAGGAATGCATTTGCCATTACTTATAAATCTGAAAATGTTTATGTTGTAATAGATTGTGTGTAAATCTACATTTTTAAATTTTCCAATAACCAGTTTCTAATAGTTTTTCATATGTCACGATCTTCCTTTGAGGTACAGTACACAACATATGTATAAATATAAATGTATAGTCCTAGGAGAATTGATTGATTGACAGATCATGAAGAATATCATGCACGGTACTCTGCTATTGCTCTCCTCGAAAGGAACAGCCTCCATCCCCATTGCTGTCAAGACTCATAATCTCATCAGTATTTCTGATAATCACCTCACTATAAGATGGTCACATTCCCACCAAGGACTTTCCAGAAATGAAAGTGCAGACCAGCTTGCCAAAGAGGCTGCTAAAAACCAAAATCTTGCCATATCTTACAATAAAATAAGCACTTTCATGCTAAAAGGGCTTCTATGGTCCAATGTTCTTACTCACTGGCAGAGAGACTGGAACACCTGCCAGAACTCTATACCATTTCTTTCCATCTGTCAAAGACATCAGTGACTATATCTTGTATAGACTGGACCACTAAATGACGGTTTCTCACCAACCATGACTGGTTTAACCTCTACCTTAAAAGATTTACCAATTCTGATAACAATGTAAAATGCTCTATTTGAGATACAGAGGACTGAAGTCTGCACTACCTCTATGGATGTCTAATGCTATCAGCCAAAAGGCTGCAGCTTCAGTTGATCAGTGACAGGAGGAAGGGCCATTGACTAACGACAGTGATACCTATATCTACTTCCGTAACCTCTCAAAAGTAACCAGCAGCTTACCACCATACCATTTGGATAAACCATCACATTTATGCTATTGGCTGCATATTTTGTACTCACCATTGTATTCACTTTCACTGTAATTACGAAATCCTCGCAAACAGCTATTTATATATACTATACGATTGCATGTAAATAACGTACCAATGTATTCTATAATGTTTTATGTTATGTTATCCTATCTTATTTTAATTGTCAATTTATGAGTTGCAAAATATACAATTTTCAATCTATTTTATTTTAAAATTTAAAAGTCTGTCCTCTTTCTTATCATCTTGAATTGTTTAGTAATTTAAAAACAAAGGTTGTTAATTGACGTGATTTTCACTATAATTAAGAGTAAGATTTTATCATTGCCTCATGCTATGTACTGTACATATTACTAGAGTTGTAGGCTATTCCTATACCAGGTAAAAACCAAAACGAATTGAAAGTCTCGTAGTGATCATTCATTATATATGGAAAACAAATGTTTAGTTGTTTCACACTTACATATATTAGAATTGTACATAAGTTTAAGGAATTCAATGTCTTCCATCTTCGGAACTTTTTCCATTTTGTTCTACTTGTACATATTTCTACAATAGCTCACTGTTTGAAAACATTTAATCAAAGTTATTTGCTGGAAAAGTGTGTAGCAGGCAAAGCTCTGGCATTGTGCAGTAGTGGGACAGCATCTGTGTGTAGGTGTGTTCAGTGTCTTTATATACTGTGATAGTTCCAGACTTGACTAGTAGTGATCTCTCTCTTCCATCACTCTTCACACAAAGTATACATAAAGCAATAGACTATAAAACTGTGTCTTCATCTCTTTTTTCTTTCACATTTTCTTTAGCTTCCATTCTATGGTCTGATTTTATAAATGTTTTTTTTAACATTTTCACATTTCAGCAGTGATTTTAAACACTTAATGCCTTTTGTCTGTTTATAGCTCTCTCATCTAGAGCTTAATTCTTTTCTTAAATATGTTTGCTGGTCATGTACTGTCAGTTCTTTATTATACAAACAATGTCTGTTAAGTGAGATGCTATTAAGTACTTTTCTTAAGTCAATAAAAACATGTATTCTTTGTTTTCTTTATGTAAAAAACATTGACTTTTCAAGCTATTCTATTTTAATACTACTATTAATCAAAATTTTTTTTCTAATACAGTATTCCTTTTAAAAGTCTCTCATCAATTTTACTAAGTAGTGAAGTCACTACAAATTCCTGTGTAATTTTCACATGTTCTGCTATCTGTCTTTATTGTATTGATGAAATTACACTTATCTTCAATTCATCCGACAGTGCTACTAGTGTTAAAAAGTTATGGAAGCATTCTGATTATTTATGCTATTTCTTCATTTATAACTTTCTAAAATATTTCTAATAATTCAGTTGTTTTTTCTGTTAACAGTTTCTAATAGTAATTTGTCACTAATGTGCAAAAGACCTACATATAAACTGAGCTGAAGGTTGATGTTTAATCATGCATGTTGCTATACATTGGGAGGTTCACTCTTGGATTGAGAACAATGCGATGAAGGAAAGTTACTCGCGACTCATCTTAACACATTACCATGCACTGTATTATTATCAGATTTTTACAGAGAATGTGTAAACAAATCACATACATACTGTAACATGCACTGATTTATAAAAGTTTGGAAAATACAATCCAATTACAATTTATAATCTGGTCCCATAAATGCCAGATTAATGAACTATTATTGTATTAATTGCAATTAGTAGTAGTCAGATGGCTGAGGAAGTAGAGGCATCAGTGTATTGCTCTGGTGACCGCATGTGAAATCTCGGTGTACTCAAAATTTACTTGGGAGTTGAGTTGAATGGATAAAAAACCTTTTACTGCTAATTCATAAGTTATATAGAAAGAGAATGCCTGACACAATATATATATATATATATACAATAGAAACACATCTTTGGAAAATTTACTAGTGTTTGTTTTCCTTTTACTTTTGGGAGTGCCAGGGCACTCTGGCTTACCCTCTGGGTGTGCCACTGTTGGCAAGCAACCTCAAGAATTTTTTGGTGGCAGTCCATATCAGATATTTCAGACCCATTTCCTCACAACCCTGCTGCTCCTACTGTTGACCTGTCCTAACCCATAATGGGTTTGGAAAAATGACCCTGTTAGTTCCCACAGGACAGGAATAAAAATAAATCTTTTGGTTTTCTTTTTTTTATCAAATTACAGCTCAATGAATATAAAAATATGATTAAAACTTGCAGGGAATTGTGATTATGCCAATAAATAATTGCTCATTCCAATTGTCATATACACTACCCTACAATAATGGACCGGACACCTGTCAAGTTCTGTGGTAGTAGTGTTTTTGTTTGGGGGTGCTTTTCATGGTATGGCCTGGAACCTTTGCATGTTGTTCCTGGTAAATTGAACGCCTACATGAACATTTTGGACAATCAAGTTCTTCCTACGCTCTGGCAATTTTATGGAATGGGTGAATGTTACTTCCAGGATGACAATGCTCCATATTATGCAGCCTCTGATCAAGCAGTGATATCAAGATATGGGTGTCAACCGTCTTCCTGGCTTGCTCAGAGTCCCGTCCTTAACCCAATAGAACATTTGTGGGACTAGTTAGAGCAATGCTTACAGACCAGGGAACCACGTCCAAAATCAGATGAACTGGTGACATTCTTGAAACAGGAATGGACACAAATGACCATAGCTGTGTATCAAAACCTTGTTGAAAGTATGCCCAGAAGGGTTGCTAGTGTAATTGCAATACGTAGGGGATCCACCCTCCTCCTATTAAAGCATGTATTCTTTACCTTATGCCATCGCATCTTTCTGTCCGGTCCATTATTGTAGGGTAGTGTATATGCAATGAAATATAAATGCACCTATTTATCGGACAGATACACTTTATACAGAAGGAAAAAATTACGTACAAAACTTGCATACATAATACGTAGCATATTGCTACGGAAAATCTCAACTCTAACCATCAATTATATGCAAGTAATTATTAAAATGCAAATCACACGTTCGCAATTTTGTTGTGAGGAATAATACGTTTCCTATTATCTAAGAGAATCGGAAATGGTGTAAAAAAATGCCACTTTTCACCAGATTTACACCTATTCGGCATTCTATTGTTTCTTTTTCTCATGGGTAAAAGTACCCACGACCCCACGACCGAACTCCCAGTGTTCAGGGTACAAAGATCGCTTGGACACTGGTGGGCCCACCAAATTGGTTACATCATTTATTTAGTAATATTGCCGTATCTAGCCCGATATAATTCGGCATTGGTAGGTGTCTACCTTTATAATTCCGTGCATAAACTAGAGGAATTATCATATATTCTCTCTTGTATCGGGATTATTAGTCGCCTAACCTTCGAAAGAACCGGCAGAAGCTTTATCCGTGACAATACGAAATTACTCGCAAAAACCTTTTAAGGGTAACTGGCTTATATTTAGGGCCTAGGAACGTGGAGAAAACCCGAAAAACTGCACCAATAAAATCATCACATTCCTAGGAGGAAGAAGCAGTATTGGTCTGGGAATACGGACAAGCGCTTGACCGTAATTTTTCGAGGGTATACGTCGGGCCCCTTTCCTTATTACCGTCCTTCCCGATGGGAGGATTTGTGAGCGCTAATAGGGCCTTTTCTAGTCCTTATAAGCGTAACTAAAAGATAGGGCGGTAGAAAAAAATATATATGGTTATTCGATCTTCTGTAATGGAGTATTAAAATTAATGACACTTTTTTTTTAATATTGAATTCAAACTTTTATAAAATATTTTTATCGGTTAATTAATATTTATGTCAATTTTTTTTTCGAACTGCAAGTTAATTTTTTAGCTGGCAGCAGTGCGAGAGAAGAAACTGACGTCACACTGTAATTGAAAACAAAGGTTGAAACGTGACATTTTTAGGCCTATCAGAGCACGAAGATAGAAAAGGTTTCTGTGATTAATATTTAAATCGTTTCTGTAAACAATGGACGAAGAGGTTGAACCTTCGACACATAACAAAAAGAAGCGGAAATTTATAGATTCATCGGACAGCGAGAGTCTGTGGAGTTCATCATCGTATAGCGATGACAGTGAAGACGAAGAAGAAGAAGAAGATGATGATGATGGTGTCGTTTACGTTGATGAACACAGAGAAGATGATTGGGTGGATACACCAGGACAAATAGAGCCATTTCCTGCTCACAATCGAGGCGTAATACATAAAGATTTTGGCGAAAACCCCACACCTAAAGATATATTCGATCATTTATTCCCACAAGAATTAGTAGAATTAATAGCGAATGAAACAAATGAATGCGCAAACCAATATACCAAGTTACGGCGAAAGAGTGTAGAAAAAAGTTGGACAGATACAAATCCTGATGAAATAAGAGTACTACTCGCATTAATTATACTTCAGGGTATCGTCGTCAAACCAACAAATCGTATGTACTACAGTCAGAATAAAATTATCCAAACTCCTTTTTTCAATGAAGTAATGAAACGTGAGAGATTTGATCTGTTGACGGCATTTCTTCGTTTCAATAAAAAACAGGAGAGAAGTAAATCAAATTCAAATTACGACCTACTTCAGATAAAACCAGTATTAAATATGCTTTCGGAAAGGTGGCAGTCGACTTACACTCCGGAGAGGGACGTATCTATCGACGAGAGCCTGTTGCAGTGGAAAGGGCGCTTTAAATGGAAGATTTATGTACCGAGGAAGAGGAATAGGCTGGGGATAAAGTCGTACAAGTTATGCGAATCGTCTACCGGATACGTATACACTTTAATGATATATTCTGGAGATAAAACTGCCATTCCCGACAAGATACAAGATATTGACCTCGAAAATTTTGATAAACCTGCTCAAATAGTGTTGACCCTGATGGAAAGCTTGCTGAATCAAGGACACAGATTATATGTTGATAATTTTTACGCATCACCTAAGCTGTTTGATGCCTTGGTGGAGAAGAAAACGGATGCGGTCGGTACCGTTAGACGCAACAGGAAAGGTATGCCAAAGAAGTTGACGCTTCGAAATGACACATTAGCGGCATACTATCGGAAAAAACTAATGGCTTTAAAATGGTTAAGTAGAAGGGAAGTATATATGCTGTCGACCGTTCACGATGATAGTATGAAAACTTACAATAATATTTGTAAACCCGAAGTTATTATTGATTACAATAGAGGAATGGGAGGAGTTGACCTTTCTGATCAACGGATCACAAACTATTCCCTTGCAAGGAGAAAAACAAAAAAATGTTATAAAAAGTTTTTTTTTCATCTTTTAGATATCACCATCTTGAATTCTTTCATCATTTATAAAAAATGCGGTCACGACATTACTCATCTGAAATTCAGACTAGAGTTAATCAAGGACCTAATTGATCATCATTTAAGAAGAACTTGTAAGAAAACAAATTTTAAATCTATGAGAACTGACATGTCTTTGAGACTAGTAGGAAAACATTTTCATTCTTACAATTCTCAATCTGGGAGGCATGTTTATCGTAGGTGTGTTGTTTGTTCTGCAAATCATATTCGGAAACAAACTAAATGGCATTGTCAGCAGTGTCACGTCGCTTTATGTGTAGTACCATGTTTTGAAATATTTCATACGCAGGAACATTTTTAATACATTTTACTATATAAAAGGTCTTTTTATCCTTGTTTCCATCTGGAAAATTTAAAGATTATATTTATATGAATTATAATTTTTTAAACCTCTGTTGTGTAGAGGATGGATACACAATTTGTCTTCTGTGCTACGAGAATACATATTTTATAAATAAGATTGTCACCTTCATAAAGTTTTAATTACCTTCAGTGTTTAATAAATTAGTTAAAAGCAATTGTGTGTACAGTGTTTATAATGTAGTTAACATAGAGACAAGTAGAATTTGGACCATCTAACCCATTCTCATCACAAGTTATGCTTTCAAGCGTAGATAACTTATGGCATGCATGCTCTGTAAAGTGTATGGGATAATTTTTTATGGCCCACCACACCAAAAAAGGAAAGCAAAAGTTACGCCAATCTAAAATAACATTGCTGAATATCCTACTTCGGTTGACGAAAGAGTGAGATCCTTATCTTCTGCTGTTTAAAATTCATTCATCTGTATTAGATAAATGAGGTTTATGGTCTCATTGAGGAAAGATGAACCTTATAGGAAGGTATCCCACTACTTCTCTCGCCATGCCTCTCATGTTTACCATGTATGATAACCATAGTCACAGGTATGGGGTTAACAGTTCACCTCTACTTGCTCAAACTTTGCTTTATCGGGAGACCTTCTTCATCTTCATTTTGTTTTTTGTTTTAAATAATTTGGGAATTATAAAAAAAAATATATCACTGTTAATTGAAAAGTTAGAGAAACAATAGCATATGTGCATAGTAAGTCAAATACTGTTTTATTTTGTCAAAGTGCCGTACTGTTAGTAAGGGTCAGAGAAAGTCATTGATTTTAGAACAAAAATTGAGTAGGATCCCTATAATATTATTAGAGAAGTTGAGTTTAGCTTGGAACCTTTGTAGAACTTCCTAAACAATTCTTTAGTAGCTTATTACCTTGATAACAACTAACATTTTCTATCCTTCAGCTGGATCTTCTTCAGGTCAATCATAAACATTGCATTTTTTAAATTAGTTGTTACCAAGGTAATAAGTTACTGGGGAATTGTTTAGAAGGTTTGGTGCTATACTTTCACTCCAGTATTCATAATTGTGTGTAGAATATTGCAAGCTATGCATCCGGCCATTGTAAATTATGTTCCTTTGAGGCCGTAGGTGCAGTTTTGTTATAAGGCCCTTTATGTAAAAGTGTTTCTTACATTAGAAAGACAATAAGAGTTATGTCACTGTTCATGCCAGGGTGCAAAATACACAGTTTTAAACGTTCACTAAATTTTTTTAAGCTTATTATCTTCCAGCTATATAATTTGAGGCTCCTCTAGACTAATACCGTATCTAATGCACCTGTCGGGTAATCTGTCATTTATAGACTGAAGCTCTTACAATATAATTAGATATTTGGATCTAAGACCTGAATGATTCTGTGGAAGAAATAAAGCTTATTTGGTCCATTTTTTCATAATTAAAAGTTCATTTTAAATTATTTCTTTCTGCAAGATGACGGGATAACTCATGGCTGTTCTGCAATGAAACCAAAACACATTTTTCTCCCAATTCAAGAACATAATTACCAAAAATAGGATCAATATTAGGAGACAGAACAGGTTTATATCTTGAAGAAACACCTCTCTATCATTATTATTATGGTTTTTTTTTAATCAAGACTCCTCTATACAACTGATTAAAGATGATAAAGGAGTGGTATTACAAAAGGGTCAAGGAAATATGGAAAGAATATTTTAGGAATTTATTGAATGAAGAAAACCCCAGGACTTTATACAAGAATGGTGAGGCAAATGAAGGAGTGGTGCAAGATATAAGCAGAAGAAGAAGTGGAAAGTGTGCTTAGGAAAATGAAGATGGGGAAAGCAGTAGGCACTGATCATATTCTGATTGAAGCTTGGAGAGGTTTGGGTAAGAAGGGAATTGATATCCTGTGGGACCTTATGAAGAAACTCTGGCAGCAGGAGAAGATACCAGATGAATGGAGGAACAGCATTCTGGTGACGATCTTTAAAGGTAAAGGGGATGTACAGAATTGCGGAAATTACAAAGGTTTAAAGTTATTGTCCAGATTTGGGAGAAAATTGTAGAAAGAAGGATTAGAGAGGAATCTGAGATTGGAGAGGAACAGTTTGGCTGGAAAGGAGTACGACTGATGCTATCTTTGCTCTAAAACAGCTGATGGGAATGCAAGAAGATTTGCACATGGGGGTGTTTATAGATCTAGAAAAAGCGTATGATAGGGTACAAGACATATGTAGATGTTTCAGAGAAATATGTTAGGCTCGTCAAGGAAATGTACTAGGGAGCAAAGACCCAAGTTAAGAGTAGTGTGGGCACTACAGAAGGGTTCTTCGTTAATGTCAGTTTACATCAGGGATCGGCCCTTAGCCCTTATTTGTTTGACCTGATAATAGACGTGTTGGTGCGTAACGTGAAGTGTGAGGCTCCGTGGAGTATGATGTTTGCGGATGATATTGTACTGTGTGATCTTTTCCAAACTGGAAGATTGGAGGAAAGTTTTGGAAGAAAGAGGCATGAAGATTAGCAGAACTAAAACAACTTGAATGACTCTGAATGAGACGAGTGTAATATTAAAATAAAAAATGTGCCCCTTCCTTTGGTTCTGAGTTTTAAATATCTTGGGATATTTGTCGAGATGGGAGGAGGATTGATCTCGGAGGTGCAGCATAGAATTCAATGTGGGTGGATGAGGAAGCTGAGTGGTGTGTTATGCGACGAGAAAGTGAGCTGCAACCTGAAAAGAAAATTGTATAACTCAGTTGTTAGATCTACAATGTTATATGGAGCGGAGACATGGGCAATAACAAGAGCCCAAGAAAGAAAGATGGAGGTGGCGGAGATGAGAATGTTGAGATGGATGTGTGGAGTGTCAAGGAAGGATAGAATAAGGAATGATTTTATTAATAAAGGTTCTATTTAGGTTGAGCAAAAAGATGCAAGAATGTTGGTTGAGGTGGTTTGGCCAGGTAGAGCAAAGAAGCGACAATTATGTTGGAAATAAGATCGGAAAACTGTTAATAAAAGGAAAAGAGGAAGACCAAAGATAAGGTGGAAAAAGACTTGAACCAGAGGGGACTTAAAGCCCTGGATATTACACGATCCTCACCAGAGTTAGCCTGAAGCAGTTCTTTGAGTTGTCTTCCAATGTGTGGAAGACAACTCAAAGACAACTCAAGCTGCTACATCTTGCATTAAAATAGTGCTGTGAAGGAGTTCACTGTAGCAGAGCGGATCTAGGAATTTCATTTATGGGGTTGCGCTTTATGTCAATATCGATACGCTTTGTAAAATAGTTCTATTATGGAAAACTCTTTTCTAGGATAATAGGGATGCGTACGTACAGTACCCTCCGCACCTCCTGGATCCGCCCGAGTAGTGCTCACTCGTGACAACGCATCTTTTAGAGCCTTCAGAAGCTTATCAATTAATTTTTTACTTCACGAATGATTTTAAAAGCGCCGTATTAATTAAAGAACTAAATAAGGTGCTGTCCATAAATGACGTCCACACTGGAAGGGAGAGAGTTATGACAAGTCGGACAAGGGAGGAGGGGTTGAACTTCAATGAATGTTCGTTTCATTTCTTTAAATTTTACACAGTTTATACATTTTATTATTCATAAAGTGATAAAGATTTTGAGATTGGTCGAGTTTTGTTGGACGTCCAGAGGCAAAGGAGTTGCGGAGAGGGAGTAAAAACTTCAAGAAAATGAGGATTTAATTTATGGATAGCCTTCTAACAATTGCAATTTCATAATAATTTCTGAATTTTTTTATATTTTCAAGGATTATCTACGTATAATGAGTATAACTACTTACATTTTTTCAGGATATGAAGCAAAATTAGGGTTGCCGTTCTCCATTTTGAAAACTTATCACGCTTCTTCCAGAAAAAGGATCCGGGTACCCATTAGTGGATAAACCATTGAATGCACCTCAACGGTTTTTTTCACGTGTCTAACATTACAATTGGAGACAGTTTCCCATAGAAAGCGCACACCAAATGGATAAAACCACTGAACACCTCTACTTGTGGGTTCGTGCCTCGACAATGCGCTAACGGCATGGAGTTTTCCGTGGTTTTTTTTTCAGTTTAGTAATTCCTAAATATGAACCAGTTTCCCATAGAAAGTTTACTCAGAATGCTCTCCCCTGGCGTTGCCATATTTCATCCATCCAACGCAATGTAACGCCGTTAGGACCTCGTACAGTACTTAAAACCACCGTGGATATGATATAGACAGAAGCTCAAATGTCTTCTCACCTAGGCCTAAAACTATTGTGGTTTTGGGTTTGGGCTTCAATCCCACCAGCGGTCGAATGGGTGAAATTATTGGATTTTGGTAATTGGTCACGGGTCGCGTTTACCAACCGGATAGTCACTTGATTTTCCTCGTTTTCTTCGCATAAATGGGGGCAATTTTCACATAGAAAGTCCCTGGGAAGCGCAAACGTTGGCAGATCTCCATTTGTTGCTTTACCACTAAACCAAACGAACCCATATTTCTTACAATAATTCTCCTTGTCCTTGGTCACGCAAGAAACAAAAGTAATAATTAGATAACAATATTTCCTTCTATTGTGACGACATTCCTACCTACCATGACCCCGCAGATAGGGGTGAGCTTTGTTTCTTTCCAAGTATAGAAGTATTAACAGGGCCATAGAGGAAAACAAATACCTGTAAAATGTGCATACGTTTTCATTATAAGGTTAATAGAGAATTTATTATCTTTTAGAGAATCAAATAATTTTGTTAGCGAAGATCTGTGGAAGTTTGGTCGCTATTTATGTATTTCATAAATAAATAGCCTCTTAATTTGACGAACAAAATACCCTCTAAATATGGTGAGAAGTGAGGGAAATTCCCTTAATTATGGTGATAGATAAAGGGAACATCCGTAAATGTAGTGAGGGATAAAGAAAATGCCCCTAAACATGTAGAGAAGTAAGAAAATATCCCCTAAATATGGTGAGAGGCAAAGGAAAATGAGCTACATTACTGCACAATATTTTATTTTTCCATAAAAGATATCAATAAAACAATTAATAGACAAAAATTATTCGCGTGAGCTGTATAATTAATCATATTTATTTTTTACATTTTCATGAGAGAAACATTTTATTCCCTTATTATTAATAATACACGAGAAGACAGAAGAACATTTAAAGAGAGTAATGCTTTGTTACCACGGTAGCATCGGGTATGTGGCTGTAGCCAATGGTAAGATCGAACACGTGTGACGTTGTACACAAGTGTTGCTGTGACACACGCGATGATCTTTCTAACATTTCCTTCAGGGAGAAATAAATCACGTGATGCAATCGGACTAATCAAAATCATGCAAATACACGAAATATTAGCAATTATTTAGATCGATTCGTGATTTTTCTGTGTTTACAGATAAATAATAAGATAATTTTATTGCATTTTAAGCAAAAAAAAAGGTCCTCTAATCGTTTATTTTAAACAACATTTTGAATTCTTGATACGAAATGACGTAACAATGGTCAGTACGAATGACCGTTATTTCGAATGGAAGCTGACGTAATAATACTAGAAATGATGTCACGATGACGCATCTTCGAGCATAATTACGTGTAATTTTATTGTATAATTACAATATTAACATTTATAAGCATTTTATACGTTATTACGGTGCTTATTATATGAATTTTAAGTGCGTATAACGTATGATTGCATTGAAATTTTCGACGTATTGTGTTATTAATTACTGCATATTCACAGTTAATTATGCATTTATACTCGCCTTAAACACTGTAAATTACGTAAGTATGCTTACGTAATAATATATTTTAAAATAGTGATTAATAAACGTCATTTTATACAGTTGATGACATACTAAGGTTTGCAGTAAACAGTACAGTATATTTTTAGTTATTGATCATTTGTAGGCAACAACGTACGCTCACGAGAAATAATTAGGTATGAACAATACGTTGAATTTTTATATCGTGATATTCAATGAAGAAAGCAATGCTGCATTGTTTTGTACTACAAAATATGATATTGTATTTTTTTATGCAGCTATACAAGATATAAAAATTACAGTATTGCATCTTCGTGCAAGGAAAAAAATCGTTATTTTATATTTTTTTTTNCTGCACTACCTCTATGGATGTCTAATGCTATCAGCCAAAAGGCTGCAGCTTCAGTTGATCAGTGACAGGAGGAAGGGCCATTGACTAACGACAGTGATACCTATATCTACTTCCGTAACCTCTCAAAAGTAACCAGCAGCTTACCACCATACCATTTGGATAAACCATCACATTTATGCTATTGGCTGCATATTTTGTACTCACCATTGTATTCACTTTCACTGTAATTACGAAATCCTCGCAAACAGCTATTTATATATACTATACGATTGCATGTAAATAACGTACCAATGTATTCTATAATGTTTTATGTTATGTTATCCTATCTTATCTCATCTTACTTTTAATTGTCAATTTATGAGTTGCAAAATATACAATTTTCAATCTATTTTATTTTAAAATTTAAAAGTCTGTCCTCTTTCTTATCATCTTGAATTGTTTAGTAATTTAAAAACACAGGTTGTTAATTGACGTGATTTTCACTATAATTAAGAGTAAGATTTTATCATTGCCTCATGCTATGTACTGTACATATTACTAGAGTTGTAGGCTATTCCTATACCAGGTAAAAACCAAAACGAATTGAAAGTCTCGTAGTGATCATTCATTATATATGGAAAACAAATGTTTAGTTGTTTCACACTTACATATATTAGAATTGTACATAAGTTTAAGGAATTCAATGTCTTCCATCTTCGGAACTTTTTCCATTTTGTTCTACTTGTACATATTTCTACAATAGCTCACTGTTTGAAAACATTTAATCAAAGTTATTTGCTGGAAAAGTGTGTAGCAGGCAAAGCTCTGGCATTGTGCAGTAGTGGGACAGCATCTGTGTGTAGGTGTGTTCAGTGTCTTTATATACTGTGATAGTTCCAGACTTGACTAGTAGTGATCTCTCTCTTCCATCACTCTTCACACAAACGTGCATAAACTAGAGGAATTACAGTAGTGGGACAGCATCTGTGTGTAGGTGTGTTCAGTGTCTTTATATACTGTGATAGTTCCAGACTTGACTAGTAGTGATCTCTCTCTTCCATCACTCTTCACACAAAGTATACATAAAGCAATAGACTATAAAACTGTGTCTTCATCTCTTTTTTCTTTCACATTTTCTTTAGCTTCCATTCTATGGTCTGATTTTATAAATGTTTTTTTTAACATTTTCACATTTCAGCAGTGATTTTAAACACTTAATGCCTTTTGTCTGTTTATAGCTCTCTCATCTAGAGCTTAATTCTTTTCTTAAATATGTTTGCTGGTCATGTACTGTCAGTTCTTTATTATACAAACAATGTCTGTTAAGTGAGATGCTATTAAGTACTTTTCTTAAGTCAATAAAAACATGTATTCTTTGTTTTCTTTATGTAAAAAACATTTGACTTTTCAAGCTATTCTATTTTAATACTACTATTAATCAAAATTTTTTTTCTAATACAGTATTCCTTTTAAAAGTCTCTCATCAATTTTACTAAGTAGTGAAGTCACTACAAATTCCTGTGTAATTTTCACATGTTCTGCTATCTGTCTTTATTGTATTGATGAAATTACACTTATCTTCAATTCATCCGACAGTGCTACTAGTGTTAAAAAGTTATGGAAGCATTCTGATTATTTATGCTATTTCTTCATTTATAACTTTCTAAAATATTTCTAATAATTCAGTTGTTTTTTCTGTTAATAGTTTCTAATAGTAATTTGTCACTAATGTGCAAAAGACCTACATATAAACTGAGCTGAAGGTTGATGTTTAATCATGCATGTTGCTATACATTGGGAGGTTCACTCTTGGATTGAGAACAATGCGATGAAGGAAAGTTACTCGCGACTCATCTTAACACATTACCATGCACTGTNATGTAAAAAAACTACAAAAATTATTGCATTTTATTCAATAAAACATCAAAAAATTACGTACCAAATTGTAATTTTTTTAAAAATTGCTATTGCATTATCGATTTTTATCTGTTATAAAATGCAGTTTTTACAAAAAATCAGTTTGTTTTTCTAAAAAATGCAATTTGAATTTGAAAAATTACATTTGGATGCTTAAAATCGATTTCCAATTCAAATTTCTCAATCACTTTTGAATTCTTATCACCTGTAAAGCACACTTCTAAATCCTTATTTATCTACAGATTAGAATATAACGTAAGTATGTCTGTCCTCTGTTTATTCACTTCAAATGTAAATAATTATTTTAAAATTTAGAAAAGAAATTGGATTAAATTAATTAAAATTTATGCCTTTTTTTTTAAAGAAATCATTGGAGTGTTTTTTTTTTTCCTCACTCTATCGCCGTAACGACGTGCCATATGCCATTGTTTACTTAATGAAACTGTGTTAATTTGTGACGTAAACAACTACGTCAGCATTTCGGAGATTTAAGGAAAGGTGTGATACTGTGCGATTTTTCTAAATGCAGGATTGAATTTTTTCGTTGCAGAAACTAGTTCAAAAGGTTAATTTATGATTGGAATGTGGAACGAGCGCCTGTGCCTGTGCACAGATGAGTGTAACGGTTGTTATTGCCCGTACCGCAGAACCGGCGTCAGATACTGACTGCATGACATAACAGCTGCTGTGACGTCACAGCAGGAGGAGAAGAGAACTGGTGTGTTGAGATGCCGCGGGGAACACGCCTAAATATAACGAACGTGTTTCCTTCGTCGATATCAGATGGGCGTGCAAAACGTTAGCGTGACTCAACGTGTACAGTACGTTATTAACGTCTCGTACAACGTTTTTTAACGTTAACTTTTGTTAAATATAAGCATCGTATCGGATTGTATAAGTCACAGAGGATTGTGTTGTTGTATACCGTGCGACAATAAAACAAAGAGAAGGGGGAGAAAAACATGTTTGACGTTGAGAAATTTATTAGTGCCGTAGAGAAGAGGCCTGCCATCTACAATTGTAAGTTGAAGGAATACAGCAATCGTGACATTAAGAGGAAATATTGGGATGAAATCGGTAAAGAGATGTACGAAAAATGGGACAGATATTCGGCAGTTGAGAAGAACGAATTGGGTAAGTCAACGTTTACTTGTAATTTCACTTCTCTTTGTTATAAACTTTGTATTTAAACAAAGCCCTTCGTATGCTGACGTCATATTCTTTTATGTAAACAATTTACTAACTTCTGGCACAAATCCTTCCGCTAGATTCACGTTCATTGGCTATTAAGTTTCTTCTTTTGTCGGTTACACAACTTTCTTTTGTTCTTATCCAATCTCCTATTCGCATAATAATTCAAATTGTTTTTACGATTACGAAGGCGTAACGTTCGTTACGAAACGTCGGGTCTACGTTACGCGGAATGTTACCTTCTCGTTTACAAAACGTGAACAATGAGTTTCGAACCTTTTCGCACTTCTTTGTTTCGCATAAAAGAATGGCTGATGTAAACAAACCAGTTCACTAAGGACGTGTTCGTCCGCACGTAACGTTCGCCCATTGGTCGAAGGTGAGTCACGTGGTGGGAGCAGGTCTTAAGCACGTGCGTACACACGTGGGGGAAGTCTCGTGCGTAATTGATGACCGATAACAAAAGAATACCTTTTTTTTTTTTATATTCGTTATCGCTCTTGTGTTACCTTTTTTTCAACGTTAAATCGTGTTACTGCGAATTTTTTTTCTTTGGGAATTATTTTTTCAATTTCTTCTGTTAATAATTATATTTTAAAGCACACTTTTCGATTATTTTTGGCACGCAAAATACCTCTAAACACGGGTTTATAAGGTTAATGTAAACTGTAAACTTTGTATAATGATATAAACCACTAAACTTTAGAGATTCAGAGGATTAGAGATTTTATATAACCAAAAACTCACTTTGTGCTTCAATTATTACTATAATTACTATGTAAATGTTCAATAGCCATGAGAGATTTGCAGGTAAATATTGAGGTTTTATTTCTAAACGTTCATTAATTAGGATTTATGACCCAACTAATTTTTAATGACGCTCTTCTTTGTGTAAAAATCTCCCTGAAATTAGCTATAAACTCTCAATAATCAGCTGGCATATAAAGATTAGAGGTTTACTAGTAAATGTAGAGGTTTTACCCCTATTTATATGGAACAAAATGATTAATCAGCTGGAATTTAGTCCACTCATCTAATATCTGGTAGCCTCTGACAATTTTTTTTTTTTATTTTTTTAATGTAAGGACAGGCAGAATATACAGGATATTGATGATGACTCATCTTTTATCATCTTTTTTCTTCCATAATACATCAAAAATGATTAATAACTGTATGTAAAATGCATGAAAACTCATACATGAAGATGAAATATTTCTATATTTTTAACTGAGGAAGAAAAAAAAAATTTGTTTTTGAACACTGGCAGTGACATGAATTGGTTCTGTTGAATGTTACCCCACTCGATTTATTCATTGTTTTCAGTAAAATCATCACTTATTCTGTGTGTTGTGATTGTTGCCTTGTTTATTACCATTTAACTAGTGAAATAAATCAGTTTAATAATGCTAGATATAAAATTTTTAGAGTTGTATAGGGATATTTACCTATAAAACCTATTTACAGATATATATATAAGTAGGTTTACTTGCAAAATCTGTATAGCCTTTAGGGATATACAGGTATTTATACAGTTGATCCCTCTATAACACTGTTGATTTTTCCGTTTTATATGAATTCCATGTTGTACGAGTCACTTAGATTTTACAAATACGTGAGCCATTCACAGCCCGGTACACATATTTGAAAAATATAAGTGACTCGTACAACATCAAATTCATATAAAACGGAAAAATCAACAGTGTTAGGGATATACAGGTATTTATACTTGTAAAACCTATTTAGGGATATACAGGTATTTATGCTTGTAAAACCTATTTAGGGATATACAGGTATTTATACCTATTTAGGGATATACAGGTATTTATACCTATTTAGGGATATACAGGTATTTATACCTATTTAGGGATATATAGGTATTTATGCTTGTAAAACCTATTTAAAGATATACAGGTATTTATACCTGTTTAGGGATATACAGGTATTTATACTTGTAAAACCTATTTAAGGATAAAGCCTTTAGAGATATATAGCTTTTTGTATCTGCAAACCTTATTTAGGGATATATTACATATAGAATATATATATTAGGGATATAAGTTATATATTTAATTTTAACTTTACTAGTAAAACTTATTTATGAGTAAATTGTTTAAAACCTTTATCGATAACCTGATAAATTGATATCTGTACCTGTAAAACATATTTAGGGATTACTATTAGGAACCTGTTCAGGGATATATAGATAAATTCACCTTCAAAACTTAGGGAAAAACCCCTCTAAATCTGTATAGAAACAAAACTTTTACAGGTAAAACCTCTGTTTATCTGTAAGAGTTTTCTTTTGATATTTTGTAAAGTGTAATAAATAAAATTTACACGGGGGGTGACTCGAAATTAAATTAATATTTGTGTTAATGATACAATTAATTTCGTGGATCTTGAAAGCACGTATATTATAAAGTGATTTAAATATTAATTATTACATTTGTAGTGGCGTATGCAATAAAAAAAATGTGCCATGATTTATGTTTCATCCATTCTTTAACATGTAATCTCTCCTTGGATGTGTGGAGTAGTTCTGCACGAGAATTTCAATATTTTATTTATTTAATGATTTTTTTATGAAATTCCCTGAATTTTATTCATTTGATATATTGCTTCTACTGATTTAAGTGAGGGAGTTGACTAATCAATAAGATCTACTTCATCCTGTTATCGCGTTAACTGATTGATCCCTAGACGATGTCGGAGAGGAGAGCAAAGTACTCGAAGAAATTTGCAATTTACCATGAAATATCTTAAAATATCTTCTCTACAACTGCTTGCAGCAACGAAATTTATCGTTTGGATTGCATTTTACAATATTATGTTAATTGAAATACGGTTCAAACCTCTGTACGACGGCCACTGACGAGAACATAAAAAATTTCCATTGTTTTGTATGCTTTGTTTTACAAGGTTTCTAAAAAAGTGGCCGTTACTGGAGGTCGTCTAATGGAGGTCCATTAGTGGCGGAGTGGATAATACCACTGAACACCGGTGGCGGGATTCCAACGGGTGGCCACAGGTCTTCTTTACGTGTCCAACTCCTAAACAGGCCAATTTCCCATAGAAAGTCTTCCTGGGAGACCCCACTTGGCAGATTGCCCGTGTGTTGCGTTGCCTTTATTCATAAAACCGAAAGAATTTTTGGACTCCATTTATGGATCTACGATGTCATATGATTATGCTAAAGTTATGGAAAATTTATGCAATTTTCTACTATTAAAAATATTAAAATTCTCACTGTTCTCAATTGGGTTACGTGTTACATTTATATACATGAATTGTATCTACCCTTCTTCTGTTGATCTTGTTTTGGATCTGCGTATGAATGTAAATATGGTTTTGTTGGAGAGTATGCATTCATCACCTGCATTGAGATTAATTTATGCCAAGAATTGCCATAAGCACTAACGTGTTGCTTAATCATCCGTCCTTCTGATACCACGAGAGCAATCAAGATGTGGCATAATTCATGAAATCTCCTGAATTTCAGACTCGTGTGCGATTTGCAATGTGGAAATTTCAGGATGTATTTTAAGTTTATACGTCAAAAAAAAATGATGATGCTGTAATAAATTAAATGTCATATCCGTTTTTACTTATAGGAGATTTATTAAAAAGAAAATGGAAAAATATCAGGGATTCATATGCAAGATACTTAAGAAGCGTAGAATCAACTACAGGACACATTTCAAAGAATGTAAACCGCTACAAAAGCTGGCAATGGGCAAGGCAGATGGAAGTTTTTAGGCCTTTTCTATTTTCTTCAAGGTAAGAGTTAGTGATTATGTAAAAAAGTCCATCTTGTGGCCGTCTTATAACGATGTTTATCATTATAGAAACGATTCAAATGCCCACGAATCGAACACAGAACACGAGGCAATCCATCCTGAATGGGAAAGTGATGAACAACCGACACGCGAGTCTGAATATTTCGAAAACCAGAGCATGGATCCTTCGAGTAATCATTGTCAGGATGTATCATCATCCGCTGTACACATAAGCGATAATGAATCACGGAATAGGAATAAACGTAGGAGAAAGGAGGAGGTAGAAAACCACTCATCCGTTGACAAAGTGTTGGATTATTTAAAAAGCAAAGGTTGCCATAGCAGTTTGGATGCAACCGAACTGATATTTTTAGGATACGCAAAGACACTTAAGACATTCTCTCCTAGGAGACAGATTATGACTAAAATGAAAATTGCACAGATTATGATGAAACAAGAGCTAGAAGAACAAGACGATCGGGCATCTTTAATGGATATTAAACCATCATCATATGGTTCCTGTTACAGTCATTCTACAAATTCTGACATGGCATCACCGGCAACGTCAACAACTACAAGATCTTCGATTGCCGAATATCAGGAGAGCCTTTTGGGTGAAAACCAATCCCACTTATCATCCTTTCTTCACCAGATTACTGATGTATGAAAACTTTACGGATTTTTATAATCGTTGCAATTAAATATGAAAACAAAAAATGTAAGATAATTTCTTATTGGTAAATAAATTTGCTATACGTCAACAAATTCTTCTGTAGAGATAGGTTATTCGATAATTTATTTATAGCCAGAGGACGGGTAGATAAAACCGCTAAACAGTCGCGGATTCGCGCCCCATTAACGTGTTTTCCGGACTTTTTTCCCGTGTCTAACAATTAAATAGTGGCCGGATTCCCACAGAAAGTCCTTCCGAGTGGCACCCTTCTTGGCAGATCGCCCAAGTGTTGCATTGCCGTATCCCAGTAACCCAAATCCAAAACCCTATCCTTAAACAAACGAATATTCACGTGGAATTTAATTAGCTTCTTCTGTAACCTACTTAATCTGTGGGTTCGTATCACAACTGTTCGAACGACATCTTGAATTCCCGAAAACCGATCCGTAGATTTAATGTTTACTCCACCGCACTCCAATGACTTGGGGTCCCACCAGTATCCAAGCGGTCTTCGTTCCCTGAATACTGGGAGTTCGGTCGTGGGTTCGCGCCTCCCTCGGACGAGCTGGCCACGTGGAGTTTTCCGGGTTTTCTCTACGTCTGTAACGCCTAAATATATGGCAATTTCCCTTAAAAAAGACCTGGAATGCATCCCCCTAGGTACGTCGCTCAAGTTTTGCGTTGCCATTAGTAAAGCAAACCAAACCAATGACTTGGATTCGATCCTTGATGGTCCGAACAATAAGTTCTTGAAATGGAATGGAATAAGCATTAAATCTGAAGTTGGATTTTTCAAATATGGGAGATTTATTGTGATTTATTTCGACAAATTGACTGTCACATTCGAGCTGATGGCGTAAAGACATGCAGATTGACAATACGTCATAAAACTCTTTTCTCTACGTAATAAGACATCTCGGAGCTATTAAAATTGATAAATTCTATTTAAAATCCTATTTTCTAATGTTAAAAACTTTTTATTATTATTATTATTTAATATTACTTTTTCTATTTACAGGGAAGCTTATGCTAACAAAATGGAAGTCGATACGAGACCACTTCAAGAAAGAACTTAGAGCAAACAGAGCGTCGAAGAATGGCGATCCTGCGACGAAGAAGAAGAAGTACATATACTACGATAATCTTCTATTTTTGATTCCTCTATTGGACGATAATCATCAAGCAACCACAAACTTTACTTTTGCCAATGAATCTTCGGATTGTTTGGATGTTCTGGATGAACAGGTGACAGAAACGATCGCTAGCAGCTCTACAGAATTCTTAACTAATGAAGCAGCATGCTCGACACCCACCACGTCTGCACCCAGTTTTCCATTCCCCGAGCCTCCTAGGCGTAAAAGAATGGACGGTAAGAAGAAAGCAAGCCTGGAGGAAGAGAATTCGGAGGCTATACAAAGGCTTACTAAGATACTGTCGGAGAGTGTTGCCATTCAGAAGGAAGAAATGAATGACGAATCGGGAAACAAGGCATTTTTACTATCACTTTTACCATTCATGAATAAGATATCCGACGAAGAAATATTAAGTGTGAGAATTAGACTTATTGATGTGGTACGCGAGGGGTTGAAGAAATCCAAATACGACCAGCATTCTTCGTTCACAGCTAACATACAGGAACCACTATCGGGTAGCACTGCCATATCGGCAACCGCTAATGATGACACTAGCGAATCTTCGATATGTTCGTTTCTAGATTTATGATCCTCAATCGTTTAATTAAATATCATTATAAATTTTATCATTTCATTTCTTCATTTTGTAAAAAATATTTTAAAAAGTAAATAAACATTTCAAACCCATCCTTAAATTGTTTTATTTCTCATTAATAAGCTTCATCTTATACTGTACAAGCTGTCTCCTCTCTAAGGGTGTAGGTTCGGACCCTGTTGGTTCGAACCCACGCCGTAGAAAATATATATGCTTGGGATAATATGCCAAATGTTCTTTCATCTTTTCAGGGACGTGGGTTCAGACCCTTAATGATCCGAACCCACACCCTGAATTACAATTTTCGTAATTAACGTAATATTCAACACTGATTAAATTATAAATCGTTTTTATTGTAAGGTTTTCAGGTTATTCATCAGATTATTTTGAATTTTACATTGTTCAACGTTAAGGAATAATTTTGATTGTTTTGCTTGCAAACTCACCCCATTTTTCTCCATAATTTGCTCTCTTTTGAATACTTAATATTGTATTTACTGTACTAACAAACGGAGCTGCAGACGTATTCACCTGCTCCTGCCAGTATCAGCAGTGCTCTTCCTTAGGCAAAAAGGAGTATCGATGATTAACACAAAGATACCGCAGGAAAATCAATGTTAGATTATAGAAATTAACACGAAAATCTACTAAAAATATCAATTTAAATACAGTCGACCCCCCTATAACACTGTTGATTTTTCCGTTTTATATGAATTCAGTGTTGTACGAGTCACTTAGATTTTACAAATACGTGTGCCAAGCTGTGAACGGCTCATGTATTTGTAAAATCTAAGTGACTCGTACAACATGGAATTCATATAAAACAGAAAAATCAACAGCGTTATAGGGGTGTTGGCTGTAATCATCACTTAATTACACGTTGTATACCGAAATGAGTACTATAAATGTTATACTATATATTTAATTAATAAATTTAATTTACAGCACATTACACATTACAACGTAACACATCATTGTACAATTACATCAGTACAGTATACATTAATTAATTGATATGTACTGTAATACTATAAACATTTACGTGTTGATTTCTGATACAATACTGAAAAATTTACTGTATACATTTAATTACGAACCGTAACACTTTACAGCATACATTTCGAGAATAATATGCTTAAATAACACGTGTATTGCTTGAAAATTACACAATTTAATGCCTTATTAATTGCGTTAATTTGTATTTAAATAGCTCTAGCTAATTTCATTTCGTTTTTTTACGTGTATAAATTAAGAAAAATGCAAGAGGAAAGCAGAAGAAAATAACAAGGAGAGTAAACGAAACTGTCAGAAAAGATATTGATCTCATTATTTCCCTTTGGCATTTGAAAGGTTTTTTATCCCCCCCTTTCTCTTTTTACTTTCGTACAAAGGTAAGAAGAACACACGAGTAAAGGTCGAAATTGATGTTTCTATTTTTAAATTTTTACTAGAAAATCTTAACTCTGTACTCTATTTTACGAAATAATTTAGTTCTGGATCTATCTCGCGGGGGGGTAGGGTAATTAATTGGAAATGTTTTTGATATCCTGAATTGATCACCTGACGTGTCTTCTCTTGCCTATTTAAAAAGGGGGGTTTGACGAAACATCTGCCGCTCTAACTAGTCGTGTAACAGATGTTTTGCGATCGAATATCGAAAGAAGCAGTGTTGAAGGTAGAAAATAAAGAAAATGCAGCAAATGGAATATCGATAAAACGAAAAAAAAGGTTAGCTAAAGAAACGGATTTGTAATTGCTACTGTCTGAGAAACCTTTTTACCCTCGTGGTAAAAGGTTTCTCAGACAGTAAAATTTTGGTCATAAAGGTAANTTATTAATTTTAACTCGGTAATATTGCATTTTTATTAAATATAACTCGATTATAATATTGCATTTTATTAAATTTAACTCGGTAATATTGCATTTTATTAAATATATCTCGATAACATTGCATCTTTACATTGTAAAATTAAACAATATTTTCTTTTTCACACAGTGTAAATAAACAACATTGCATTATTAATACAGCAAAAGTGAACAACACGGTATAACGCGCAACAGAAAATGCACGATTGCTTTTTATACACTACAAAAAAACATAATAATAATAACAATAATAAACGATACTGCAGTGAACAATACCAGAAGCGATATCGTGCAAAAATTTTACGCACACGCGTAAACGTAATCAATAACACTACACCTTAGAAATATCAATCACGTGTTCATTACATATTTCGCGTGTGCAACTGACACTATCTTGGCATTATATTGGCATTCATCTTGTAGTACAGTCGGAGAATAAACCTGACGCACACAAAGGTTGGTACCCAGTAAAGAGTAATGCCATCTCGAGTTGAGGGTAGATTGGGGAGTGTGATCAATACCGAGGGGCGTGAGGGCTTTGATGCATCCTGTACAGTCCAAACTCTCGTTTCACGTCTTGCCGGAAATGGTAAGCTAGCTGGAACCGGTTTCAAACTTACAATTCCTGTGTTTTCGGGGGGGACGAGGCGGGGGCAAAGGTCGAGACCATTTCAAAAAAAAAGAGAAAGAGACGAATCGTTATAATGGCTACTTTTAAATCCCGCACGTGATCGTAAATCATGTGTACTCTGGCTTCGAAAACAGGATTGTTGGTGTTTTCCTTACTTTCAGAAGGAAAATTACAAAAAAAATTACAAAAATTGTGACGTAATTTCTGGTGTTTTTTTTGGTTTCATTCCTTTGTTCTGTGTGTGTGTGTATAATTGGGTGTAACTTAAGAAAAAAATACAGAATATGTGACGTAATTTGCTCTTTTCTTTTCTTTGTGTGGGTGTAATTGGGTGTTTTTAAATTTACGTATGGATTTTTTCAGTTGAATTTTTTAAAAATTAGGAAGAAAATTCGTGGAAATTAANCGGAGAGTGTTGCCATTCAGAAGGAAGAAATGAATGACGAATCGGGAAACAAGGCATTTTTACTATCACTTTTACCATTCATGAATAAGATATCCGACGAAGAAATATTAAGTGTGAGAATTAGACTTATTGATGTGGTACGCGAGGGGTTGAAGAAATCCAAATACGACCAGCATTCTTCGTTCACAGCTAACATACAGGAACCACTATCGGGTAGCACTGCCATATCGGCAACCGCTAATGATGACACTAGCGAATCTTCGATATGTTCGTTTCTAGATTTATGATCCTCAATCGTTTAATTAAATATCATTATAAATTTTATCATTTCATTTCTTCATTTTGTAAAAAATATTTTAAAAAGTAAATAAACATTTCAAACCCATCCTTAAATTGTTTTATTTCTCATTAATAAGCTTCATCTTATACTGTACAAGCTGTCTCCTCTCTAAGGGTGTAGGTTCGGACCCTGTTGGTTCGAACCCACGCCGTAGAAAATATATATGCTTGGGATAATATGCCAAATGTTCTTTCATCTTTTCAGGGACGTGGGTTCAGACCCTTAATGATCCGAACCCACACCCTGAATTACAATTTTCGTAATTAACGTAATATTCAACACTGATTAAATTATAAATCGTTTTTATTGTAAGGTTTTCAGGTTATTCATCAGATTATTTTGAATTTTACATTGTTCAACGTTAAGGAATAATTTTGATTGTTTTGCTTGCAAACTCACCCCATTTTTCTCCATAATTTGCTCTCTTTTGAATACTTAATATTGTATTTACTGTACTAACAAACGGAGCTGCAGACGTATTCACCTGCTCCTGCCAGTATCAGCAGTGCTCTTCCTTAGGCAAAAAGGAGTATCGATGATTAACACAAAGATACCGCAGGAAAATCAATGTTAGATTATAGAAATTAACACGAAAATCTACTAAAAATATCAATTTAAATACAGTCGACCCCCCTATAACACTGTTGATTTTTCCGTTTTATAAGAATTCAGTGTTGTACGAGTCACTTAGATTTTACAAATACGTGTGCCAAGCTGTGAACGGCTCATGTATTTGTAAAATCTAAGTGACTCGTACAACATGGAATTCATATAAAACAGAAAAATCAACAGCGTTATAGGGGTGTTGGCTGTAATCATCACTTAATTACACGTTGTATACCGAAATGAGTACTATAAATGTTATACTATATATTTAATTAATAAATTTAATTTACAGCACATTACACATTACAACGTAACACATCATTGTACAATTACATCAGTACAGTATACATTAATTAATTGATATGTACTGTAATACTATAAACATTTACGTGTTGATTTCTGATACAATACTGAAAAATTTACTGTATACATTTAATTACGAACCGTAACACTTTACAGCATACATTTCGAGAATAATATGCTTAAATAACACGTGTATTGCTTGAAAATTACACAATTTAATGCCTTATTAATTGCGTTAATTTGTATTTAAATAGCTCTAGCTAATTTCATTTCGTTTTTTTACGTGTATAAATTAAGAAAAATGCAAGAGAAAAGCAGAAGAAAATAACAAGGAGAGTAAACGAAACTGTCAGAAAAGATATTGATCTCATTATTTCCCTTTGGCATTTGAAAGGTTTTTTATCCCCCCCTTTCTCTTTTTACTTTCGTACAAAGGTAAGAAGAACACACGAGTAAAGGTCGAAATTGATGTTTCTATTTTTAAATTTTTACTAGAAAATCTTAACTCTGTACTCTATTTTACGAAATAATTTAGTTCTGGATCTATCTCGCGGGGGGGTAGGGTAATTAATTGGAAATGTTTTTGATATCCTGAATTGATCACCTGACGTGTCTTCTCTTGCCTATTTAAAAAGGGGGGTTTGACGAAACATCTGCCGCTCTAACTAGTCGTGTAACAGATGTTTTGCGATCGAATATCGAAAGAAGCAGTGTTGAAGGTAGAAAATAAAGAAAATGCAGCAAATGGAATATCGATAAAACGAAAAAAAAGGTTAGCTAAAGAAACGGATTTGTAATTGCTACTGTCTGAGAAACCTTTTTACCCTCGTGGTAAAAGGTTTCTCAGACAGTAAAATTTTGGTCATAAAGGTAAAGTTTGTGGGTAAAAGGTTCCTCAGACAGTAAAATTTGGGCAATAAAGGTAAAGTTTGTGGGTAAAAGGTTTCTCAGACAGTAAAATTTGGGCAATAAAGGTAAAATTTAATAAAGGTAAAACTTAGTAAATACGAGACCACTTCAAGAAAGAACTTAGAGCAAACAGAGCGTCGAAGAATGGCGATCCTGCGACGAAGAAGAAGAAGTACATATACTACGATAATCTTCTATTTTTGATTCCTCTATTGGACGATAATCATCAAGCAACCACAAACTTTACTTTTGCCAATGAATCTTCGGATTGTTTGGATGTTCTAGATGAACAGGTGACAGAAACGATCGCTAGCAGCTCTACAGAATTCTTAACTAATGAAGCAGCATGCTCGACACCCACCACGTCTGCACCCAGTTTTCCATTCCCCGAGCCTCCTAGGCGTAAAAGAATGGACGGTAAGAAGAAAGCAAGCCTGGAGGAAGAGAATTCGGAGGCTATACAAAGGCTTACTAAGATACTGTCGGAGAGTGTTGCCATTCAGAAGGAAGAAATGAATGACGAATCGGGAAACAAGGCATTTTTACTATCACTTTTACCATTCATGAATAAGATAT